ATCCTGCCCTGGTGCAGTGCTATCGACGGGAGATCTTGAACCACTCGAAGAGGTTGGACTCGCTGTCGACAATTCTCGCCGTGTATATACCAGTGATGGATTGCTTTGCCTTTCGGCTTGCCGATCATCATGAATAGTGGAATTGCTCACGGTACGGTCCTTGCCTGGGTGTAATGGCAACTGGCCTACACCGAGGCCTTGTAGCGAAGCCGAATTAGGCGAATCTTGTTTCTCGACAGCGGCGGACTGTATAAGAGTAAAGCCCTGACCCAGATTGTCGGAGTCTATACTGTCCGAATGCCCACCGCGATTGTGCGCCTGGCTTTTTCGGGCAGGTCCATGGCTGGTCAACGTGCCGCTGCTTTCGCTGTCTCGTGATCGCAGTTTCGAGTCGATAGTGGATGGTAAAGGCGGCGGGGAACTCTGCAACTCTTTAACCTTTTTCCTGTAGCGTTCCTTCTCTTTCAAAGCACGTTCGAGATCTTTATTCAAGCCTAGAATGAGTGTACGCTGCTTATCAACCAATCGCCAGAGCTGCGAATTTTGAAAGGCCGCATGATGCTTTTCCTTCAGGAGGTGTATAATCACAGCCTCAGCTGACCCAGCAGTCGCTATCAAATTTCCGATATCGGCCTGACTTAGCGCATTGGCATCGAATGAAGACTTGTGTGTTTGAGAAGCGGAAGAGATCGACGAGATGGCCGAATCAATGGAGGAGGTCCGGGGCATCATACGCTGACCCGGACGGTTCCCGGAGGGCGATTGAAGAGAATTGGCTGGCGAGGTAGGAGAAGACATCCTGGAACCTGTCTGATCTGGTATCTGCTGCGCCCGATTATCACTCATTTTATCATTCATATCATACTGCTTGAGACTATCCCAAGTGTCTCTCACGACCGCTTCCGATCCGCTGGATGTCTGTGAATGGGTATCCGAGGAAGGAGTCTGAATTGTCGCATATGCTGTATGATTTGTCGTATAGTTGCTCTTGAACATGGAAGGATTACTGAATGACTTCGGAGATAGCGGAGTCTGCGATGGACTGGCGCTGACTTGTCGGGGCGATGGGAAGTGTACGTTCGTTTGAAGAGGAGATGGCGTAGGTTTGCGGGGAGAAGCAATGGCAGCCCCGGAACGCAAAGCCTGTCCGTCAGAACGTGGGCCCAGATAGTCGCGAGGAATCAAATCGTTGGATAATGGCAATGGCGAGTGCACCGTGCTTTGGTGCTTGGTTGTAGGTAACGTGGGAAGGGGTGCAGGTAGCTGGTTGATGGTGGTACTGTCGCTACCTTGCCGCCGAGGCTGCGACATGGCTTGTTTAGGAGTCGGAGCTCACTCCACGCATGGGAGGGAGGGCGCGGAACCAAACAACGATTGGACGCTAAACGCGGACGGTTCGACTGGGGGGTTTCAGCACCAGCGGGCCAGGGGGGCCAGAGCCAACGGTTCGACGGTTCTTAGATTGAGGGAACCACAAACATACCTTCCGCACATGCGAGCCTTCGCCGTGAGGACAACACCGAGAACTGACGGCATCGGGTGAATCCCTGGGAATGTCGGGTTGATTAAGGGAAGATGTTGGAAGAAGTTCGGTGAGTACGGCGACTCATGATTTACTGAGACTAGTTGCAAGATCTAAGCCGAGTGGGGAAGGGGCCAGGGGAACAGGGGAGAAAAAGAAGAAAAAAAAGGGGGAGGGGACAGCAGAGCATAAGCAGGAAGGATCCTCCCTTCTTTCAATGAGAATGCAATTTGAGCCGAGAATACTGGTGAAGTGCAGGGAGGAGAGCTTGTAGGTTTCTATGAGGGTGAGAGCGAGGCAGAAGATTAGTAGTATCTTTTACTGTGGTGAAGAGATGATGACAGCCACCCTTCAGTATCCAGACTTGCAGACAGAGTAAACAGTCTTGCTGCATTTACAGATGCTTGGTTAAAACGGCTATGCTTTGCAAGGACAAATGATTGGTTCAAATTTCCCCAGTGACATACCCTTTAGAGATAGGCGCAGAAAAAGCATATGCCGCTAGTGGTCCTGCATGAAAAGTAAAGCCCACTTTTGAGAGAAGGCCTCAAGGGCACCATACTTGTTGGATTTGCTTAGCTGCCCCGTCCATCATGCCCCGCCGCTGAAAACGAGAAGCCGAGAATAGCGTCAGAAATGGTGGACAACCCACGTCAGATGAGAAGAGAGGCATATAATAAATAGGACATGAAAACGCCAGAACACCCTGTCTAATGCAGCCCCCCTGAGGCAAAGTAAAACAAAATTCGAGGGTTGGGTAAAGATGAGATCGCTTTTACCCCCTCCAACGCCTATATCCTGGTGAAACCAAATTACCCAGCTTGAACTCCCAGACACCCGTATGGTACAACTATACAATGCTATGCTATATTTCCGGCCATGCCCATAAAAATGGCCTGGGCAGCTAGTTGGAGTGACCAGAAGCCAACTTTCTTGAAACGTCGCTTCCGAGCTTGCTCATCAACCACATCTCGCGCAAACGCATCGTATACCTGTCCAACATTAGTATGTATCATAGATCACCGGGGCCGAGATTGGAGCTTACCGCTGCCGAAAGATCATCCATCAAGCCGCTATCCCAAGTGGTCCAACTGCCATCAAAATCTCCGAGGCGTTTGACGAGGCGACAGTTCACTGGAATGAATGTACGCCTTGAATTAATATAGGCAACAATGGGTCTAATAAGCGCATTGTTGATATATGAAAGGTCACGTGTGAAAATAGGAACAACGGCTCTGACATTGTTCAAGTGGAGGCGGAGATCGGTGACTAGGAATCGCCGGTCATCTTCGGCAGCAGTTTCTTCTGACGAATTTATGTTGGACGTGGTCGACTCAAGGTCCAGGTTAGACGAGACTGTCGCTTCTAGCCGATCATAGAATCCGGCCATAACCTTCGCAAGGCTTTCATCATTTTCCGCAGGAAACATAATGTCGGAAACGATGTCGACCGTTCCTTCATGTATCCAAGAAAACGGGCCCTGGACTCCCCGATTTAGATGATCAATATTTAGACCATCAATACGAATCCTGCTATGCTTCTTCCATGGACTCGGTTTACCATCTTCTTCACCTCCATTTTCCAGCTGTGCCCCGGTAAAGCCATGGGTTTGTCGAGGGTGGATCGTGAACAATGAGTTATCGTATGACCCCGACATCATATTGGCGGACATAAAGTCATAGAATAGCCACTGTTTTCTCAATTGAGGCAAATCACATGAAAAGATGCTGACAGGGAAGGGTCTGAAGTTGTCTGGCTGGTACACGGTAACCAAGACATCACTCATCTTAAAAGAATCAATCTCGAAATCACCAGGATTGTGCTCGTGTCGATAAGATTTGGGATCAAGATCGTCATCTGACCAGTGAACATATCTGCGGTCGACTACCCCGCGAATGCCCCGTACCTCAACGTCACGAAGAAGTCCCTTACCGTTGATCCACTTCGTGAATGACAAGGTAACATTGACCGTTTCGATGGACACATCGAATTGCGTGTAGTTGGTGTCCTCTTCATCTGACACGGGCCGCTGCTCGGGCAGTTCAGGGTTGGTTTGCTCCCCGAGGGCGGCGGCGGCGACAGCAGCAGCGGTTTTCGAAGAGCCCTTACTTACATGCCCCGTTCCTTGTCCTGGTCGCCTGGAAACAAAGACGTTCTTGAACGTGATCACGCCATCTTTCCATTTCGGAACAATTGCAGACTCGAAGACGACCTTTACACCGGAAGACTTGGTGAGATAATTGCCGATCCAACCAGCCAATGTTTCTATAGAGATTAGCATCGGATTAATTTCGATGGGAACCACTTCGGGCCTACCTTGAGCGAACACGGTATTAATCGCAATGATAAGCAATGAGAAGAAAGTGGTAGTACCCAAGACTACCCAAACCACATGTCCCAGGAGCACCCATGAGAAGAGAGCGGTTATTTCATCCAGATTGAAAGGCCTGACACTTCGTATAGAGAACCACTTGAACCGGACCTTAAGTCGTGACCAGAATCCATTAGCTGCAGCCAACAATTCTTCTTTCGTAGGCCGGTGCAAGTGCGGTATATGTGGCAATCGGTCCCTGAGATGGCGGTTTAATTGCCCTTTTTGATTAAGCTCAGGTAACTGCGGCTCGGAGACCTGACTTTTATCGTTGACGGATGTCTCAGAACCTTTACTGAGCCCGTCAGGATGATGGCGGCCGTCAATATGATTTTTAGAATCCTTCCGTAACTCGGTCGTCCTCCGATCATCTGGGCTCGTATGAAGACCGCGCCTAATCGTAAGCCAGGAGACAATACCCAAGCCCTTTCTTCCCGGTGTAGAGATCCTATGCGGCATCAACCCCTCTAGAGGGATGGCGTATGTTGCCCTGGCTGCAGTGTGATCGGAGGCGCCATGTACAAAGCCCGCGGTAGCAAATCCTCTGATAGGTCGTGTCGGTTTCCCTGAAAGTGAGCTATGTCCTTTCGCAATATGTAAATTGCAAAAGCCAGCTCTGAGGTCTTCTGTATTTCGTTTATATGATAGGCACGATACGCGCCTTTCTCGCAATCCATATCCAAATATTGATTCCGTTGTTCCCCATAAGTTGGTGTACAACCTGCGCCCGAGATAGCCAGACATGATTGCCGTCACATGCTGGACAATCTGGGAAGGCAGGTAAGCAGCGGAGAATCCTCTCTGGTATTGATCAGAAAGCTGCAAAACAAGCCAGGCTATTAGATGTATAGCTGGGATGACAGGTGCATGCGTCTCAATCACCGGGCAGAAGCACGGTGCTATCTAACCAGGCGGACCGCGAATAAATTTCCATGAAATCATCCCGCCTCAACAGGAGCGGGTCCTGTTTGTAATGTTTGCATCGAAAATTCACAAATTCACACTATAACCACACATCTTTTCCATGGACCGTAAAATCTGTGATAACGGACTCCGACTCTGATTTACAGCCTAAACCGTCGAGTACTCAGATCCATTCACAGAAACATGCCTGCACCCACAGCTTTACGGCAAAATGCCGAAGTAGAAATGACAGAGACGCTTGTTGCGCCTACTATGTCAGGTCAGTCCCCGCCAACGCTTTACGGGAGCCCGACCGAGTGGCCATTCTAACGTCTTCTAGAGCAAGATGAGGAAATCTTGATCGACGCCCAAACGTCGGCAGATCAGGTCTCTGCAGGACTCGCACCTGAGATTGAGCCCACTCAAGACAGCGATATGCGTATCGACGAAGAGGGACGGCCCCTCTTCACGCCAGCCAAAGACACTAGCAGGGTATATCGAGTTGAAAGCAGGAAGGTTCCTGTACCGCCGCATAGGATGACTCCATTGAAGGCTAGCTGGGCACGCATCTATCCCCCGCTTGTCGAACACCTCAAACTTCAAGTGCGCATGAACATCAAGAATCGAGCTGTGGAACTACGTACGTCACGATTCACGACCGATACGGAAGCCCTGCAGAAGGGCGAGGATTTCGTCAAAGCTTTTACTCTTGGATTCGATGTCGACGACGCTATCGCACTTCTCAGGTTGGATGATCTTTACATACGTTCATTTGAGATTCGGGATATCAAAGCTCTCAACGGAGAGCACCTTAGTCGTGCAATTGGACGTTGTGCTGGTAAAGATGGGCGAACAAAGTTTGCGATAGAGAACGCTACTCGGACAAGAATCGTCATTGCAGACCAGAAGATTCACCTGCTAGGCGCAGTGAAGAATGTCGACTGTGCCCAACAGGCCATTGTTAGCTTGATTCTTGGCAGTCCACCGGTCAGTAACCTTGTGACGATCCTGTCAATTGTCGTCTCAGATGATGCAACGGCTGCTAACTCCTCAACAGGGCAAAGTGTATGGGAACCTTCGTAAGGTGGCTTCTCGCATGAAGGAGCGTTTTTAGGGGAAAAAAAAAAAAAAAATTAACCGTCAGCATCATGGGAACTACGGCCTCTGCCTCTACCAGAGTTTTGTTTCTTTTCTCTTTCTTTTTATGACATGGTATCGGCGTTAGGGGTTGTGGCATATGATCTGGATAGAGTATAATGGATATGACGACACAGAAACGAGGGAAGGAATACTCCACTGGATATTTTATCTATTCATATTCAGAAAATCATCGCAAGAGTATAACACTAAACTAGGCTGGTGAAGCATTGATTAAAATGGGCCCCGGTATGCCTAATCCTTCTTCAACGGATAATAAATCTCCTCCACTCCACTCCTGGTAATAACCATCATCTGCAAGCCATCTCCGACCTCAATATGTCTTTCGACGGCGCTAGTGAATGCATCTCGCACCAGCTGCTCAACAGTATCTCTTGGTAGCGGTTCCGCTTTCTTGGGCTCAAGGGCATGCCCTTCCCCGCTACCCGGAATATATTGGTTTTTGAAGTTGACCTGGTTGTCCAGGAACGGCATGATCAGACTTGCTGCAGACCCTGCAGCCCTGCATTGCTCTCTCTCGTACGAGCCAACCGGATCGTAGCTGTACAAGGCACCCTTACCATCCTCGTCCAAGCCCGCTAAAATAGCATGCACATAGTAGGGAAAGAACCGTTTCTGGTAAAGAATTGTTGACAAGCGTTGGGCACAGGCTCTCACGGACATGGGCTTTCCGTGTTGGTATTTGTACATCTTCACCACTGCATCTAGTCGCTCTTTGAGGGCCTGGCCATCTGCTGCGAAGCCCACGACTGACAAGACGATGTTGGCACCTTCGCCAGACTCGTCATCACCGCCAATTTTGAACACCTTGGGAACATAACGAGAGTTAATGTTGTATCCTGCAACGGATCGAGTATCTCCAGCCAGGATCGCGAAATCGGAGCCAGTAATGCCTAAGGTAGAGCCGCCGTTATCCGTATAACTGCCGTTGTAAGTTAGCTTAATACCTTTGATACAGTGAAGACAGTGATACATACGGATAGAAAGAGTGCTCTCGGTGGGGAGCACTGTTCGCATTGGAGAAGGAGTATCCGATGGCCTCGCTAAGAGGGTTGCCGGCAAGAGTCGTCATTCTTCGTAGAGTTCAAATGTGTAGATAGTATCAATTAGGATGAAGCGATAAAGGTTTTGTTATACTCTGGTCGTCTAATGACTGTGGATGTAGCGGAGGGCGTTCGTTATGTAGGTAGTTGTAGAAGTGAATAGTAGTAGGACCTCTAGCTGAGCTGTTGCTGAGCATCTGACGCGGTGTTGTAGCTGCCTTCTGCTTATATAATCACGCACAGCTTCCGTCATGGTCTGGGAGCAATTGTTACCGCGGAGTGAACTGCCGTCTCCAGGTTATCTAAAGAATTAGCGTTGTCTTTTTTGAGTCTAATGTCCAACTCCTACGCCTCCTTATAATTCATATTCTCACACGAGCGCTTTATCTTTGAAGCTCAATTGGCTTATCCGAAACCCGGAACGCACCAGGAACTGACGCCCAGTTATAATGCTTGGCTTAGGAGCGTATGAAAGCAGCAGTGACGAAGAGGTGGAAAATAATTTGCCCTCAGTACAATCGAAGGTAATTGGAGCATTATGCTGTGTTATCGGCCTTTACTAATATGAACCCGGTAGAAGATCGCAAGCCAGCAAGCGCAGCCACAGGAAGTGACAAAAGCTACAGGTGATTGGAGATATAACCTATTTGTCTCTGAATCTAATGGGACTTATTTAACATGTTACCAAAGCAGAAACCGCCAATGAAACCACACCATCAAAAGAGATACCTGTTCCAAACACAGACAGGCCTGTTCTTGGGCCGACGCATGAAGGCTCACAAAATCCGCAAGAGCAACCAGCCGAACATTCACAAGTCTTCTCAGCGGACCGAACATTGATCCATGACCTAACACTTCCTCCGATACCAAATCTAGACATCCCACCATCTCCCCCTGGCTCTCCTAACCCTGCAGCAAATGCCAAATTCGCACACTTCTTGACCCTAAAGAAACAGGGCATGCATTTTAACGAAAAGCTTGCCGGGTCTACATCCCTCAAAAACCCCAGTTTACTGAAGAAGATGATGGACCATGCCGGCATTGATGAACAAGCACAATATCACACATCTTTACCACCTGAAATATGGAACATCAGCGATCTGCCAAGTTGGGGGTATAAAGAGGAGCTTTTAAAAGCGCAGAGGGAAATTCAAAATAGGGCTGAAGAAAAGAAGTCCGCAGGACAGAGGGATGCTATCAACTTTGTGGCTGCCACGCCTAGCGAGTTCTCCCGTGCAGGCCCTATTGCTAGCTCAAGGCCAAAACAAAGGTAATATACGATGGATAGTGCAGAGTGCAAGTGTCACTGTCAATGACGGCCGGGACAGTATGACCAGGCGTACAATGCTTGGGAAGCAAAGAAAGGCCCTCCGATCCCAATGCCTATGATAGGAGGCCACTTTGTGAAAGGAAAGTTATCTGCTGATGATAGACTTCCTCTCACGAAATGACTATACAACGTCTATCTCTAGGGTCAAATAACCGAAAACGTAGCAATAGTGAGATACCCGTTACGTGCAGGGACAACCCTTTCTTACTGCAGTAGTAGGAGGGACACTGTCATCTTTAAAGGGGCCAATCTCCAAAAATCCTCCCTCCGCCCCTCAAAAAGGCATCTCATCCAATTAGTTGTAATTTGAAAATAAGTAAGACGCAATTAAAATATCTATGATCATTTCAAGTTTCTCTTGTAGGGACTATTATTAGGCTATACTTGGCAGTATCTAATTTTCGCTAAGCGCGTGTGTTGGCCTCCGATAGGCGCGGCGGGAGGTGATAGCATTGCTCACGTAACATGAGCTCCGTCAGCTCTACTGCCTACCGACCCGACCCCAGAACAGCGTCGATATCATCACAAGCTACTATTTCCTTCTCAAGCATCACTTTGAACTTCCACATCAAAACCACATTTTCCGGTATACTCAGTGAAAACACATACAATCATCCCTTCTAATATCGTTCCAATCGCCCATCATGAATCACTTTCCCGAAGCTTGGGGTCGCGTAAGAACATCATCGCATTAGATTATTGATGTCGCTAACAAAGTGCTGAAAGCCTAGGGATGACGTTTACGGACCCTACAACGCCTCATACCTCCAGACAACTGGCCCGAAAACCCACACTCAGTCACCTGCTGTGACTGGTACGTCGGTAGTGGCAGTCAAGTTCAACGGCGGAGTTGCCATTGCTGCCGATAACCTAGGTATAGCTGAGAATCATATTGGAGACTAAAGTCATACTTTGGCTGACGGCCAATCTTTTATATAGCATCATACGGGTCCCTTGCCCGCTTCACCGACGTGAAACGACTTCGCAAGTTTGGCGATTCTGCCATCATCGGATTCAGTGGTGACGTTTCGGATATGCAGTATATTGACCGACTACTGGAGTCCATCGACATCAGAGAGAATTACTCTACCCACGGAAACACGCTGAACGCCAAGAATCTTCATACTTATTTGTCGAAAGTCTTCTACAAGCGCCGTTCTGAGTTCAACCCCCTCTGGAACCACGTCTTGGTGGCCGGGTTCGATGGAGACAAGAAGCCATTCCTCAGCTCAGCGGATCTGCTGGGGACCACCTTCTCGGCTCCGCATCTCGCGACCGGCTTTGGTGCCCATCTTGCCGTCCCAATCCTTCGCCGGCTGTTCCCAGAAGAAAGGCCTATTGAGTCAATCACCAAGGATGAGGCCGTGGCGGCGCTAAGGGAATGTATCAAGGTTCTCTGGTACCGTGATGCGCGGAGTCTGGACAAGTACTCCTTAGCTGTTATTACTGAGGAGGGAGTTGAGATCCAGGAGGACCAGCAAGTTGAAGCCCAGAGCTGGGCATTCGCCGAGACCATCAAGGGATATGGGGCTCAGGTTAACTAGGATATGGCTTTGATTACATGCTTGTGCCACTTGAGTAATAGAACAAATCCAACAAAGTACGTATGGTGAAGTCACTGCGAACGTGTCTTGGTTGTAGGGCGCTATATATATGAAGATGCACAAAATAGTAGTCGTGATGGTTGGTGATCGGGATGCCACATCGTTCAAGGGACTCCTGACGGTCCTTGTTACACCCGATAAGCCCCGCGCCACCTGTTCCTTTCATTATTGATTCAGAGCTTAGAAGAGGGCTTGTCGAAGACAACGCGATTTAGGCATGATCCGACACCCTCAAGAGAAACCTCAACTAAATCACCATCCTTGAGCCAGAGCGCCGGCTTTCGACCCATACCAACACCTTGGGGTCTGAAGAAGTCAGCCTTGTACATGATAAGTGCGAAAGGAGCAAATAAGTGCTAACTTACGTTCCTGTAAAGATTACATCCCCGGGCAACAAGGTGGTACCCTGAGATAAGAACGACACTGTCTTGGCCACCTTGAAGATCATATCCTTGGTGGATGATGATTGGACCGTCTGGCCATTCAGTTTTGTCGAGATCTGCAAGTTGTTGGGATCAGGGATTAGCTTCGAAGATACAATACCTGGTCCAAAGGGCGCCCATCCGTCGAAGCCCTTGCCCAGCCCCCATTGCCCTCCACCATGCTTCAACTGCCATTCACGATGAGAGACATCGTTTCCAACGGCATAACCCAAAACATAGTCCAGAGCCTGGCTCTCGGGCACATTCTTAGCTTCCTTGCCGATAACGACAACCAATTCACACTCATAGTCTAGACCCTCACCCTGCTGGGCCATGCGGGATACTGGGACGTCATCTGTAGGCCCCGTAACAGAGGTGACGGGCTTGTAGAAGAGAACTGGAAATTTGGGCAAGGGTAGGTTTGATTCTATGGCGTGTTGTTCATAATTGAGTCCCAGACAACGCACGGTCCCAATGTCCTTTCTTGCCAATGGCGCCAGGAGCATTTTGATATCAGCAATCTGGTCTGTGACTTGGTGCTGTCCGAAAATGTCGCCCCGGATAACCCGTGCTCTCGTGGCTTGGGCAATGTCGCTCACGCCTGCTGACAATAGGGCGTCTCCATAATAAGTCTGGCCGTCCTTGGCCAAGAAACGAACCAGACGCTGTGCCATGAGACACAATATCAGTTCTTGAAAGAAGGAGTGGGCCAATGGAAAGGATATGGACTCACGGAAAAGGTAGCCATATCGATCAAAGGTGCTAATAGTAGTAGATAGTGATGATACCCGGTGTATATAGTAGTAGTCGGATAAAGTATATCAAGAGTAAATGATGTTTAGTAGTATGATGAATAGCAGCTGGAGTCTAACTAGGAGGTGATATAAATCTGTATTTCAAGACCAAGAGTGAGTTTGGTCTGACGAAGCTCCCACCAGCACTTCTTATCCCGATAGCTGACTAGTTACTAATGTTAGTACGGGAAATAGTTAGATAACGAAGAGGGGGTTTCTCCAGCTCCTCGGCTCCAGGATTCTCGGCCGGAAGGGGAAAGCAGCTCGGCTACTACGTATGGGGTAAGCGGATCGGCAGCCCCCGGGGAAAAAGCCGAACAAGCTACCAGTAAGCATGCTCTGCATTTCCGAACTTCTGAACTCTTCAGTCCGGTGATGCAGCTATACCACTACTAGCACTCGCAATTTCCTCCAATTTGCAACGACTATATAGATCCAATGGCTCGGCTGTCAGGTCTCCAAAGGCAGGTGCTGTCTCTGTATCGGACATGCTTGAGAGAAGCCGGGAAGAAACCCATTGTAAGCAAACACCTCGTCGCGCTGTCAAGGTTTTGTTTCACTGGCTAGCCAACGAACTTGGGCTGATTAGTTCTGCTACTTCATATACGGTAACTAGGAGACGAGAGAGAATTTCAGAGCATATGCTAGGTGCGTTCCTTAGTCGGGGTTCTTAATCGAAGAAATTGGTCTCCTGGCATGCTCGTTCTACAGTGTGCTAATCTTGAAACAGGGCCGAATTTCGAAAGAACTCCTCTGTTAGCAAGAAGGATTTCGGTGCGATAGAGTATCTACTACGGAAGGGGCAGAGGCAGCTTGAGATGTACTCATCCCCCGGGATTCGCAATATCCGGTGATTTCAATATCCTGTCGCTTGCGGGGCAGCCCCAGAAATTCAAAAAACGACCCTCCTCCTTTGGATGTAGGTGAATGGCCCAGTAAACGAAATATAGCATGGCTTTTTGCTCCCTATGATGCAACTTTTGGAGGCTTACTTCCTAGGGATGAACTCTTATATCACGTGATCGCGGAAGATTCGCGCGGGTTCTCGAACCGTAAGCCGCTTATCTTATCGGGTCGGTGACGGAAGGCTCCAGATGCATCTGGTGTCATCTCGCTCCATCGCTGTCGCTCCCAGCATCTGCCAGAACGCTCGGCTCGCTTCTGTATGACAGAGAAAGTTGGATGATGGCGTTTTCTAGAAATCCTCTGGTCGGGAATATAAGGATGGGATTCAACCAGCCTAACATGTTTGTCTGTACTCAGAATCAATTCAATCTCATCACAAGATAAATCAGAGACATTCATATCCTCTTTATCAACGATCCAAAAACCGCAGCTATCTCCTTCAAGATCATTAGCTTTCATCAAACACCCTTGACATCCTCAAACAAATCACAAACAATGGCTTACTTCCCTCGATTTGCCGGTGACTTCGCACCCTTGTTCCAACTTCTGGACGATTATGATGTCCACCGGTCTAGCCGCCCCAAGAACAGGAAGGCCACACCCGTCCGCTCATTCACACCAAAATTTGACGTCTATGAGGTGAACGACGTATATCACTTGGAAGGCGAACTTCCTGGGGCCGAGCCGAGCAACATCGAAATCGAATTCTCTGATCCACACACCCTGGTCATCAAAGGTCGCGTGGAGAAGAATGAAGTGGGCACCCCTCAGACAGCGGGTCAAACATCGCCGACAAAGTCACACCAGCCGACAGTTGAGGATGACGATGAAGACGAAGACAACAAATCAACCAAGTCCTCGGATAGCCACCCCACGCAGCTGGTCTCACAGAAACAAACCGAGCCAACCTCCAAGTACTGGGTTTCCGAACGCCAGACTGGCGAATTCTACCGCACATTCACCTTCCCGACGAGAGTGCATCAAGATGCAGTCAAGGCCAACCTGACGAATGGAATCTTGTCGCTACAGATCCCGAAGGAGCCTGCCCCTCAGGTCAAGAAGATCCGCCTCGAGTAAAGCGATCGATAATTATCGTCTCGGATTTTTCTTAGCATCGGTTTCCACTCTGCGACATTTTTTATCTTCTTGACTTACCATGGCCATACGATCTTCTGCCAGTTCACGCACTGATATGAATGTTTCTGCACCTGCATTATGATGGGGTTCTGTGGGCCAGGAGTACATTGGAATGATTGTTCATTTTCTGCATGTATTTAACTTAAGTCATCATGCGATGACAAATTAATGAATATTGAATTTTCTTATATATGCTCCTCGTAGAATACGAGTATGAACAAAAGATACCGACTGACAGCATCACCCACGACAGAGATTTTGTAGACATGTCCGATTTATCATCTTGATCTCTACTTACTGTAGATACTATTACCTAAGTGTGTGTTTATTACCACGGCCAGTACTCTCACTAATTGAGTTTGCAAGCGCTACCATCCTAATTACTAGACACCTCGCACAATAATCCAGCGAAAGCACATCATCCATGCACGAGGCATACATAAGTATGTACCGAAGGCATCAGATATCAGATCCATAGGTCAAAATGGCATACCACTAAATCCCACGAACTAGTCTTTCCGTAACTTTAATTTGAAAGTACCCTGGACAATACTCCGTAACTATGCAAAACTGCAGTCAAAAATCAAACCTACATATTACAAGTAATGTGAGATAAGACCGAAGAAAAGAAGGTTTCAACCCTTGCGTTGAGCGTCTTCCCAAGCACATGTGGTTGCTTCAAGTATTTTGCTTCAATATTATGCATGCAAGATGCAAGCTCCCCACCCCGTGGATACTATGGATTGAGAATCATTGCCGACTGTGGGTGGGGGTAGTGTCTGCGGCTCCACGATTTACACAGTAGTTACTCCATACTAGATAGATAGTTAATTTGGAGGGAAAACTTTGTGTGTACGATTAGCTAATATGTACTACACGTAACTAGTTAGCTGCTGGAATTCTTCAAACTAAGTTCTCAGATAACTCACTAGTGGCATGTTTGTTAGTCAAGGTCTGGATACATCTATCAGATGTGTAACATATTCTTTGGAACTGCTTGCTTACAAGTAAGAAGATAGTTACTGACCTACTCCCTGTATGCATGCAGCTTTCGCTCGGGTTGGGTTCGACATATGCCAGGTGGTCTCGGTCGTTTGGGCGTCTTCCGCCTTGGATTGCGCGCTTGATTGTAAGCATGCCCGATCCTTTGGATCACAAGGTAAGACTATCCAGCCTAGCTAACTGGGTATGAATGCACGGACACCGCCAGATCTTACTTGACTCAGTCCCCATTTATTGATGATGATGATGGAGAAGGGGCTCACCGCTACATTTGGTGTTTCGGACTGTTGGGCTAGATGGCAGCTTATCGCGGCTATGTAATACTACTTGGCGCTGATGAAGTGTTCACACGATACAGGAAGCCCGCAAAGCGGGGATAGATTGATGAGTATACGTCGCTTTTCTCCTTGTCCACTCCAAGATATGTACAAGCGGAGGGAAGGATCCAATATAGTTAATCAATCAAATGTCAAATAGTAAACACGAACAAAAAAACAAAACAAAAAATGGGAAACGCCTAGACTTTCCCGCGCCAGTCGAACTCTGATATAATACTATATAAATGAAGCACAAACAATCATCCAGGTTACCAAATGGGTATTTGTAAAGCAGTGGAAACGAATGAATAAAAGAACCAAGACCAAGTTGGCGCCGTAAAGGAGATATCCGCCCGTTAGACTTCAAAGTGGAAATCCCGGCACCGAAGCACAAGACTGATCGGAAAAGAAACATTTCGAAAGGGAATGGTGGCATATCATGCATGTGGAAGGATGCTGCCAAATAGTGACGCACAAGTAAATGAAAAAGTTGGAAAAAGCCATTGCATCAACGAAAGATAGTTGGTGAAGCGGCCTTGTAAAGATCTGGATGTTTAGCATGCCTCGTCAGCCTCTTCCGCTGACTTTCAATACTTCGGCTCCTAGTTCTTCCTCTGAACTGTCCAGATACCGGTCTCCCTGTATCCAAGCCTTTCACGCTCTCTGGGACTGGCACGTGAAGTGCATCAATATTTGGCATTGGTAGCCACGCAGTGCTCATCGTGCTGCTGCTACCCGGCACGTCGTGCTCCGTCACTGTAGTCATGGGCTGTTTCCAGCTTTTCTCCGATGAAGCTAAGAATGCTCCGACATGCTCCCATTGGGGGTATTGATGAGGTATAGCATCTGCAGAGGCAACTGACAGGCCAGGAGAGGCATTATCGAGGCTCCTCAATTGGTGGCAATATGGAGAGTAGGGCATTGTATGCCGATATTCCGGAGGAGTCGCGAATGAACTGCTCCTTAGGCGGGGTTTGGGGGGCATCGGTCGGAGGTCATGACACATTGACCATCTGTGGGACGGCCAGCCATGGCTGTCAACTCTGGGCCTTGCCCATGGGCCTTGAAGGCTTGAATGACGGTGTACCGAGGGCTCGTAGCCAAGTTCTGGGCTGTTCCTGGCATCCAAAAGCCCGTGGTCCCTTGAATTACCATTGAATGTGAATCTGCGGGCCACTGCAGGTTGGTGTGTGGATGTGCGAGAATCAGTCGATCGTCTAGTGGAACGAACGGAGGCTGCAGAACTGTATCCGCTGTCAACCGTTCCATGAGCACCTTGAAGTTCTCGATGCCCGTGGTCTCGGAAGGAACGTTCAAGCTGGCGGACAAACCATTTCTCCTCATCAGCGACAGAGATACCTTCATCTTCTGTTTCACTACCACGAAGTTTGTACGGTGTTGAAGTTGCTGGAGATCTCTCGAAAGAAAATGGACTTGCAGGGTGATCGTCAGGCTTTCCCACTTCAGTAGGTGGAATCTGTAACTTTGGAACACGGGCAGTATCGTTACATGGAACCGGAGCATAGTCTTGGATGTTTGAGATATCAAAGCTGGTTAGATCAACTTTTTCAAGTGCGCTGTCCCGGACGATCTCAGCTTTCCGGGATTGCTCAATTGCACTCTCAGAGGCATAGTCCTGGATGTTCGATAGATCAAAGCTGGTTAGATCCACTTCATGTCCGCTGTCTTGCACAATCTCAGCATTGTGGGATTGCTCGTCTGCACTTTCAGAAGCTAACTGCGGCTTCTGATTCATATGGTATGGCACCTTGTGGGTAGAGTGCTGGGGCTCTCCCGACTTCGTATCATGCGTGTGAATGCCAGTAGGTTCAGGATTCGGGCTGTTGGGACGGTTCAATCGAGTTCTGTCACTGGGGCATGGAGATGCAGAACCATTTACCACACGCAATGATCCTAACTTGAGAGCCCCTAAATGAGTATATTCGAACTCATTGGGTGTTGCTGGACGGAACCGGGTAGCCGGACTAGGTGATCCAGCAGCATCTTCGTAACCGGATGGTAACGGTCTTGGAAATGCAGATGTCTCGTTCAAATAGTTGAGTGACATCGTGGGTCCCCGTACAACTGGTGATGACAATCTTCGGGCTGTATCTCTTGGTGGCCTTCTTGTTGCGATCCCGGGCCGTGTTAGCAGCGATCGTCGACGGATGAGAGAAAATCCTTGGCTGTCTACCCTGAATAGTGTATTAGAAGACGTTGCCTCTTCGATTGTACTATGATGCATAGTACTTTGCGCCCTCTGAGGTGTGGTATGCGCAGAATACGCCCGTCTTGGTCGCGGTGGCCGTGCCATCAATGGTTGTGCTCGACTTGGGAGAGTTGTTGCCTGAAAGCTATTGTGTCTGGAAGAACGGCGAGAGACTTGACCGCTCATAACGGGATCTGGCATAGGAACGGTAGGAACGGGCGAGTACAGACTAAAATCATCTGGCTCTTTGACCATAGACTGGCATTTCCGGGCCCTGCTGAGAGTGGGCCATGGCTCCCCAGGTCGATAGGAGGCAGATGGAAGAGATTGCGACCTCCTTGTGCATACATCAGGCTCAGGGGCCTTGAGGGAGATGGAAGTTCCGGTCCAAGGGTCTTGCCAAGCAGTACAAGCAGGGCATTCTATAGGAGAGCTGGTGCCGGAAGTTTGACGAGATGCGCGGAAGCTGTTTGAAGCTAGCGTTGCCCTATTCGGAGGCGGTTTTGAAAGCCGATTGGTGCGGCGACGCTTTTCTTTGCTCTGTACTGAAAGGTAGCCTCCCATGGCTTCCTTCTTGAGTGAAAACCGGAGTGAAGGTTTCAGAAGAACCTGATCCTCTCACCTAAAGGTGCGAGGCCGACATGGGCAGGCCGCAACGTCAAACAATTCAACAAATGGCGTCCAGTGGCTGATAAACAAGTTCACTTCAGGGTTTAATCCGGTAATGCCATAACAGTGGTCAATCCCGCAGAAGAAACTTGGGTACCAACGAGGCTGGAAGCACCAGGCTCCTGCCTATGAGGTAGATAGGCCGAGAGAAGGTTTCAAAAACTTTCGACGACGTCAACCCCGGGTTGATTTGAAAGACTTAGTAGAACACGCAGAGGAAACAAGAGGAAGATTTTGGACGGGACTGGTTCGAGCTTTCGCCCGAAGCGCTGGACTTGCGACGCCTCAAGCTGGTAAAGAACCAGAAGAGCGTATTTAGATGATGGGGCAAAAAAGCAAAGACGGCCGACTATATAGGTAGCGAGAGGGAAGCGCTACCCAAAACGAAAAGACAGGACAATGAACTGTTGTAATAAAAAGGAAATACAGCACGGGCGGAATCAGCCACGTCCAACTAGTGGGTTTCCTCCCTCCTGATTTATTTTATACGGCAGATAGGCAGACAAAATGGAGATGTCAGGAGAAGAGGTACTGAAAGAGTAGTAGTGGACGGTGGAAGACGACGAAACCAGGAGTGGTGGAGGATGTATTATGCAATAGTAGAACAAAGGAGGTACAAGAAGGGGAAAAAAAGAATATTATCAGATTACCGCAATCCTGGTCGGCCAGATAAAGATGGGAACAAAAAGGAATAAAATAAAAAGAAGATAATAAAAAGAAAAGAGATCAAAACCAAATCGAGAATAAAAATCAAAAACACGGGGTTGAATGGGATGAAGCGGATGGAAAAGAAAGATCGATTAAGAATCGTAGCTGGGGTAAGTAAGGGAAATCAGATACATAAGTGGAGTGGAGATGGACTGGGCTGCCATGGTTGAGGATGCACGAAAGACACCAGAGTGACGAATGCGTTTATCCACAGGCAACTGTAGCTCTCACGGACAACGGAATGGGGAACGAGATAATGGATCGGCAGGTTGCAGACGGTCGGAAAAGGGAACCAGCTTCTGACAAGATCATTGTGTAAGAGCGAGAGACCGTGTGTGTGGATGTGGATGTGGATGTAGATGTGGATAAGGGTGTCAGAGTAAATGGAGCTAAGAAAGAGCAAACACACCCGGACATTATTCACCAGCCAGCCAAGGTACCATCCAATTTTTTTTACCCTCTTCGACAATAGGAATTGGAGAAGGATGTGTGGATGGAGCCATGGGAATGGACGGTCAAGTCAGCCTTGGACTGGCGTGGCCATTTCAGAACTCAGACTTTCGGACACAACGCCATCCCTGAAAGCGGACAAGTCAAAGCAAGAATTGCACCGGCGATGCCCGCTAGAAGCACCCAAGAAAAAAAAAAATATTAATAAACAAAATTAAAATAATAACCATACCTAATACTAAATAGAAGGCAAGAAAGGGAAACGAATGAATGCATGAGGAGGGAGGGGTATCAAGGGTATCATTCTATTCCGTAGTAACTAAAATCAGTAATTTTGTTTACTACTGTAGATTGTTAATTCAGTTGTCTACTTTCGTTGAGCTATTATTTCATTCCGTACGTAGGTCGATTGATTATTCTTTACCTCATGATTATCATTCGCGGATTATGATCATACCATGCATCGTCGGATGTTTGTCTGATGTGTCTGCAATTATCTAGTTAGTTATTAGCTATTTAGCAGCTAGTTTAGCTGTACTTCTATCTACTTACTTAGTATCTCATCGCTATCCCTTAGGGGGACTGGCAGAAGCTCTCCCTACCAGTTATGGATTAAACAATTTTCCTTAGTTCGACCCTCATTAGGATCGCATTTGGATCGCCAGGACCATCGTCTGTTTTAGCTCCAGCCGTGGATCCCTCCAGGGGTGGAAAGCTTGATGACGATGGAGCCTTGATTGGTGCTGGGCTGGCCGCAAGCAGAACTAGGCGACTAGTTCTTCCTTCCGGACCTTGGTCAGTGAAAGTAGTCAGGATGTTACGGAGGAGAATGCTGTTCCCGCCTCTCCGAGTTATGGATCCTTGGTTCTTGACCACCACCACCTCCTCCTCCTCCACCTACGGGATAGAAGAAGCTGAAAGAATCGATCGCATCCCGTCTTTGGTTAATAATATCTAATGTATTATACTCCGTACGTCCCGATGCTATCCTTGAGTACTCCGTACTTCCCATTCAATCGCACAAGTAACCTACTCCGGACATGTGTACTTTTTTGACTTTGGACTACTTGAGCATTTTACTATACTACTATACTACTACCATTAGCCACCGCCACCACTACCACCATAGCCTCCTATTGAACAACTGGATCGTAAGTTAGTCTGCACGCAGTACTCGGTACTACTGCTGTTGTTAACTGACTAGTAAGTTAATTTACTAGTTAAGTTAGTTGTTCGGCTCTAGTTTAGTCATGTCGGTATTTTAGCGTCGTTTAGATTGTTCTGCCTAGTTTCCACCGCTTCCCCGCCCCGCCCTCCGTCTGTCAATCCGTGTTCATTCAGTCAGTCTCATGAAGTAGGAGTACGTATACTACAGTAGTAGTAAAGGGAGATGGCTGGGGGAAGTAAGAGTAGTATCATGATTATGCGACTCTAGTAGGACCTGTCTGTCAGCATCGACAGCACCGACATCAGCTCCAACACCCCCCCGCACTGTCCATCTTCCGGATTGATCTCTCTTCTCAGAATTCAAATTTACCCTTTTCATTATCGGTGTATCATAGATGGGTCAAAGATTCAGAGATAGAAACCCCTTCGAGTCAGGTCATCTCCGATTGAGTCCTTCTTGGTTCCATGGTTCCATCTTTTACTGCTTTGGAAACCTTTCCCGTTCCGGCGCTCGGCTCGCTACCTCCTGGTCGGGTCATCCGAAAGCTCCAGCTAGACACTACTTACTCGTTAGATGTCCCGCCCGCAGCTGCGACGTAAAAAAAATCAGAAAAGAAAGAAAGAAAAAGAAAAAGAAAAAGAAAATACTGCAAGCAACAGGAGAGGGTCTCCAACCCGAGAACGGACTGGTTAGTCAACCCACATCCCTCACGAACTGGATCGCTGTCCTCTGGGGCGTACAGAACCAGTGTTTCTGCAACGCAGACGCTTCTGCAGCGCTTGTCTGTCGGTCAGTGGTCGGATTACACCGCGTCTTTACCAGTCGTATGGCGTCTTCTCTTTCCAGTCGACCGACCTTATCGGGGTTCCCTTTGCTCACTGCCGAGGAATTTGAAACTGCCTGTCACGCCTTTCTAGATCGGATTCACGTGGTGGATGATACCAAGGTGGGATGGTCCTCCATCCGTCTCGATCACCGGGTAAGTTAGTTGCCTCGCTTCATGTCGTTCGACTTTGTTCCACGCTCCTTCTCTTGTTGCCTGTCGCTTGCGGGAAAGTATCCTTGAAATCTGCGCGACAGGGATTCGAGAATTGGTTAGGAAGATGGACCTGAACTATACACTTCAGTCCTTTCTCCTCCCCTTTCTTTCTTTTTTACCTCTTTTCTTCACCCCTCCCCCCTACTACTCCCCACTCTCAGCTAAATTCATTAGGCAACCGGGCCCATCTTAAGTATTGCAAGGGATATCGGTCATGTGGGTACTCGTGATCGCGACGAGCCCCTCCCGGACCCAGCGATGATCGAAGAACTACAGTGGGAGGCCTCGGAAGAAGATCCCGTCCGTCGAACTGGAACCCTTTTCATTGCGCTCTCTCCATTCTACGAGCATAGTCTAACATAAAACAGGAAGCTCTCATTCGTGCGCCCGAGACGAGTGTCCGTTTACAGGTAATCTATTATATTCTGCTTTCTCCCACGTACCACGTCCCTGTCTTGTATTTCCAGTTACGGCAGGACAACCATCCGGGGCCGCTGGGAATTGACGCGGTCTACCAACACCTGGTACCGGAACAATACAGAAAGGAACTCCAGAGCATTGGCATCATGGGTGGTATTAGTTTTGGCGTATGTGCAAGATCTCGAATCCCTAGCCCAAGCTGGAGCTTATGCTTCGTAGTATCATCCAGACTCCGGAACTCCAGCGTTTTTCGTTCATCCATGCCAAACAACGGATGCGATGAGGCACATTGCAGGACAGCTCTGTCTCACTCCCGAGACTTATCTCATGATTTGGCTCGGGTTGGTGGGTAACCGTCTCGGTCTTCAGCTGCCCAAGGAACTCTTCACAGTCGAAGGCATGAAGACATTCCAAGGCACTGCGTCACACAGTTTAGATTGATCCAGAGTACTTCCTCCCCTCTCAGGTTGGATCCCCCTGGCCTGGCCAACGTATTCCCGGTACATAAGCGAAGCAATTAATCTTCATCCGATGAAGCTTCCATTGGCACATCACTGTCCTCGTCCATAGGGGCTTCCTCTTCGTCGCTCTCTTCCTCACGAGGCCGTTTGACACCTTGGCCTGCTTGAGCTTCTCCATTGACTTCTCCGCTGGGCTTCGACGGCAAAGCCGCCGATCCTGGGGGCCCGCTAAAAATCGATTTCTGGAGCTCTGTGGATGCTCCCGTGGTTTGACCGGCAGGTGTTGTAGTGGGCACATTATACGTTCCGCGCAGCCGGGCAATGACGTCCGAGGGACCTTTAGCATACACAATTTTCTATATTCCCGAGTCAATGAGCGAGGAACAACCGCACTGCACTATGCAAAAACATACCATTTGTTTGCCGAAGAACTCAAAGCCCTGGAGGGCCCGCATAGCCTGTGTGCTAGCCTGGACATCTTTAAAAACAATATGGGCCTGGCCGCGCATCTTTTGGGTCTTCATGGCGACAACATCGAGAACGGTGCCGTAGGTTGAAAAAAGCATATAGAGGGATAACCGTAGGTCATGCTTGCGCAGCTTGTCTGGGAGATTGGTACAATACAAACTGCAAAATTAGATCAGTCAGGGTGCCCGTATTCGATTTAGGAAGTAGTATCCAAGACTTACGTTTGGTTAGGCAGTCCAGTGGCTGAAGCGGGTTTACCTTGACCACCACCGCGCGTTGGAATTACTCTGGTTGCCATCACTGCAGAGCGACAAAGAAGACCCGAGGGGAAAATAGAGCAGCTTCCCAACAATACCTCGAGCAAAAGACCGAAAAGAACACCCCGTCCAGGGAAGGAAGCCAATGGAAAGTGAAACCCGAAGATAGCACAGCTTGTGATGCGAATGAAGTTGAACCTGGATTGAGCGCGAAAGGTCATGTGACATATTATCTAATCATGGCCAATCCCGCCCGCGTCATCGTTCGGGGCCTAGCTTGGCTGTGGTATACTGCCCACCATTCCCCCTCCCCCTTTCCGGTTGGTAACCATCATACTTTACCTCAATTCTACTCTCTCATTCACACGGCAGTAGAGAGCTCCTCCTGTCGTCTACTCGCCATGGCCGCTCCCGAAGCTCACCACCTCTTCCATAACCCAATTGCCGATCATTCTTTCTCTCCGGATAAGGCGACCCTTGCAGTTGCGCGGGAAAGCAATGTGGAGCTTTATCAGAAGTCCGGCAACAAGTTCTCGTTGACCGATGAACTCAAGGGCCATGAGAAGACTGTGACTGGAGTGGATATCGCTCCCAACAGTGGACGTATTGTTACCTGTTCTCAGGGTAAGTTATCCTCATCCCCTTGTCCTGCAATAGTCCCGTCTAAGTGACCACGGGAACAGACCGCAACGCCTACGTCTGGGAACGGACCCCCACGGGTTGGAAGCCAACGCTGGTTCTCCTTCGGATAAACAGGGCTGCTACATTTGTACGGTGGTCACCTTCTGAACAGAAGTTCGCTGTTGGATCTGGTGCTCGCGTGATCGCGGTGTGCTATTTTGAAGAGGAGAATGACTGGTGGATCTCGAAGCACTTGAAGAAGCCCATCCGCAGCACTATTACCACCCTTGCCTGGCATCCAAACTCCGTTCTCCTGGCTGCGGGGTCGACTGACTCTCATGCCCGGGTGCTTTCCAGCTTCATCAAGGGTGTCGACACCCGCCCGGAGCCCAGCGCCTGGGGTGAACGGCTCCCCTTTAACACAATTTGTGGTGAATTCCTGAATGACTCGGCTGGTTGGATTCAAGGTGTATCCTTCTCTCCTAGTGGAGATGCACTTGCCTTTACTGGCCATGATAGCAGTGTCACCGTCGTATACCCTAGTGCGCCGGAACAGCCGCCTCGGGCAATGTTGACCATCGCTACTCGTCTTCTGCCTTTCAACAGTCTGATTTGGAACGGCGAGAACGAGATCATCGCCGCAGGCCACGTATGTCTCCTAAAAATTCAACTTCAGCAGATGATCCATTACAAAATATATCGCTAACAGGCATTAACAGGATTGCGAACCGTACCGCCTTCGCGGTGACGAGAACGGATGGCAACTTGCTGGGACCATTGAAAGCAAGGCAGGGCCGGGTGCTGGGAGCGCTCGCGAGGAGTCTGCTCTTAATATGTTCCGCCAAATGGACCTCAAGGGACAAACCCAAGCCGACACCCAACTCAAGACTACGCATCAGAATACTATTAGCACCGTTAGGGTCTACGAGGAGGCCGACGGCGTCGTCCGCAAGTTCAGCAGTAAGAGATACTCCCCTGATAAGTTATGCTGTGGTTGCGCTAACTTTTGAATAACAGCGAGCGGAGTCGATGGCCGCGTTGTTATCTGGACCATCTAGACAACAATTCGTTGTGCTAGATGTGCTAGATTTAGCTCAAAGGCTCCTCCAGCATATTGAATGCATTGGATCCTTTACTGCATCACAAGAATATGGAGCTTGGAAAATAGCTTCAGGTAAATAGAATCTGACCATTTCATGTACACACCATAAATAACAAGGGCACTTGAAGTGCTTCGTATTTGATGGCCCTTTATAAAGTAACAATTCAACTGCTAGTTACCCTACAAGCCGTAGTGACTAATTCGTGACGGCGTAATATGTAGGTATGATCGTCCCGTAACTTTACGCAAGGATACGTACATCGTGACCGACTCCGCATCACGGGGTCAAGTCAGGGTTCCCCAGATTCTCGACGTCACGGGTTTACCAAGTCTCTCTTCACTTTCCCAAGTTTCAACCACGACTTTTTCAGCTGCTGCACCGCAGCAGATACTACCAAAGACGATGAAGAAACACTCAGCGCTATGATAGCTCTTAATGTGTTGTTCAATTCCTACTCCTTAATCCTCACCTACTTCTCCTTTTTCTTGCCCATTCGCGCATTCATTCGCCTAGAAACGGATCACATACCTTCAGGTCAGGATTTACGCCCCATCCCCGAGGAGACCTACAACTCTCTGGATGAGCTAGCGCGTGTGGTCGATGTCGCCTACTGCGTTGGCAGCACTGGGCTTCAGAAGCCTTTTCAGTGCCTGAGCCACTGCAGTGACCTCAAGGGGTTTGAGTTAATAACCGTAGGTTGTCCTGCCGTGAGCGGGAGACTTTGAATGATTAACCTCTAGCTAGACATGGAATACTGGGCCGTTTCTTTCGGACTCTTGTGGATACATAGCGGTTTCGCACTCGCCGTCACCTAACCGTATCATTGTCGCTTTCCGTGGCACCTACTCCATTACCAACACGATTGTTGATTTATCTGCCTACCCGCAAGCCTATGTGCCGTATAACACCGGACATAAAGATGGAAAGAATGAATCAAGCTGTTACAATTGCACTGTCCACGCCGGATTCTTCACTTCGTGGCAGAACACTCGCTCGACGATCCTCGACCACGTTGCAGCCGCAAGGGAGCAATACCCCAACTATGAACTGGTTCTAGTTGGCCACTCGCTTGGTGGGGCAGTTGCTGCGCTGGCTGGTATTGAGATGCAGCTGCGAGGCTGGGAACCTACGGTGACGACATTCGGAGAACCGAAGGTCGGAAACAAGGCCTTTGCCGAGTTCCTGGGTAAGATATTCCGGTTGGACGAGGACTCCGCATGGCGGTTTCGCAGGGTCACGCATGTTTATGACCCTGTGCCTCTCCTACCACTGGAAGAATGGGGGTATGCGATGCACGCGGGAGAAATCTTCATCTCCAAGGAAGATCTTCCCCCATCAGTGGATGACGTTCACTTCTGCGAGGGCCCTCACGATGCACGATGCATATCAGGGGAGGGAGGGGAAATGGCCTTGGCGGTCGCTCTTCATGATTCGGCGTCTCTGGCTGCAGATGCGAAGTCGCGGGCTGGCTGGGCTGACGCTGAATCTACCGAGCAGCACGATATGCCAGACGGGCATACTTCTCAAGCACCCTTGCACGTGCAGGAAAGTGCCATGAAACACCGAGGCTTATTTGATCTGCCTAGACGATTTATCCCATCTAGATACCAACTGTGGGAGCTCTTATTCTCCCATCGGGACTACTTTTGGCGGGTTGGGCTCTGCGTTCCTGGTCGTGACCGGGCAGGCAAGGGGTGGTGGGCGTCGGATTTGTAGTCCCGATGTTCTTCTTGACGACGAAGAGACGACGCAAATCATACATGGCTGTAGGAACGAGTGCACGTATGAAATGGTGGACTTGATCAATATTCCTAATCTCAGGCGAGTCACGTATGCAGCAATACAGCTAGCTAAATTCTATGAAACCATAAACCCCCAGATCAATCCTCTCGAAGTCTGCATTCGATGGGCTGAGCTGAGCAATATAAGCACAAGCACATGATCCACAACACAAGCAAGGGTCACGAGTAAAACTGAACCCGATCTGCAAGCCACCTCCAATTCCCACAGAATAACTTAAAACCAATCTCATCACCAGACAGCTGGGGACACCATAATGAACTGAAACCGCCGCATAGTGAAAAACGCCCAAAAAGATGGTTCTGAAACCGCATGACAACTGAATTTCACCCTTCCATTCATGCATAATATGGCTTCCCTGCGTCGAACTCAAGTTATATCTTGCTCCTTATTGCATATCTATGTATCTATGTACTCATATCACATTAAGTCGCTCATTAAGTAGCACTCATGATTTGTGATGTCATGCGGGCCCTTTCGATGAATATACAAACGTATGTATTAGTAAAAATATTTATGTATGTATGCATGTGTGTGTGACCTCAGCTAAGCCTAATACTGGGTTCAACATGACACTACTACTACTAGTAGTAGTAGTAGTAGTTGATGCAACATCCCCTCTCAGAAGGCGAGTTCATACTATAGGATGACTATCGTCATAGTACATACATATATGAAATATATATATATTGTGGGCTTGCAGTTGCATCATAGGCGTCGGTGCCTTACTTTGTGTCCTTATGGGATGTTTAGTACTAGTATTGATTGAATGTTGTGTATAATGATGGGATGGTTGAGCAGGAAATTGGATATTTCAAAATTGATTATTAATATTATTTTTCCTGTGCAACTAGGATGTCTGATTAGTACGCTGTAGGGGATGTAGGCGTGTATTGATGAGGTATGGGTCGTACAGAATATATTTATTTGCATATCATGTGACTTCATTTCTGAAGTTTGAAACCAATAACCTAACTGGGTATATCCATAAGAAGTTATATACACAGCTAAGTGGATGGTAGTATGTCTATTTGTGTTCGGTTTAACAATATAGAGAGGCAAGTGTGGGGAGAGACTGGGTCACTACTTGTCCACAGGCGTCGAATGAGAGAACGTAGAGTATTATCCGTTAGGATACTTGGAACATGCTTGTGTTGTGACAAAGAGGAATCAGGAAATAGCATTGCTAAGGATATCGATGCGTTTGCTGCTACAAATTCTGGACGGGACAGGTATGTTGAATAAAAGAAGACAACGGTACGAAAGAAAGTAGAGACAAATTGGACAAAGAGGAAGAAAGCAAAAGATCAGAATAATAGAGGTAGAAAGAAAACAGCTCAAAGAAAGAGGGAATACAATGAGGGCATCAATCATAACACATACTTCAAGTGCCATCACTTTCCTGGCTCCAAGCTAGGAACAATCACAGGCCCATACTTGACCACAGCGCCAAATGTCCCATCGCCCTGCACCATATAGTCCACCGCAAGGTTCAACTTCCCACTTCCTTGGCCTGGATGGCCGTACATCGTGTTGACGACATCCGGATCGTAGGCAACAATAGCAACATAGTTTCGACGACCAATCAGCTTCCGGTGTTCACGAGGCTGTCCGGTAACATCAGACTGGAACAGCTCCAGCATGTCTTCCTTAGTATCGGTAGGCTTCGAGGGAGTCGAGCGCTGACCGTTAGCTGGGACATATAGGGGTTTGTTGCTACCATGGAGAAGCTTGATGACATATGACGGTGGAGGGTTGTTAACCACTGGTGACGATATGAGTTGATACATGGTTTTATGGTTGGAGGGGAACGACGGATCATGCACGAGTCCAGCACCACAGGCGTTGACGGCGCCCGAAAGGAAAGTCATGCGGAGCGACTTTTGATGGGCAATGCCCTGGAGGGTGCGAATAAGATAGGTTCGTTCGAGATCCTATCCATGCGGTTAGTCCAGCGACTGTGATTGTGCACCGATAGTAAATATAGCATGAGGTTACACGTACCTTGGACTCATGGGTCCACTGATCACGCAACTCATCTAAAAGGTCAAGTTCACCGAAAGGGCTGAGGATTCCGCCCATCAGACCGGTTTTGCCCACAGCCCGTTTGACCGAGTCGAACCCTGACCCAACCATGCCCTTGGCTCCGACTACACCGGCCACAGAGCTAGTGACTTTTCCAAGGGCATTATATGCCCCTGTGACTGCCCTCTTCCCCGTAGCGACGGTGTGTGCGATGTGTTCAGCTGTCTCCAGGCGCGGGTAGATAATTGGCACTGAAAGCATCCACAAGCAATGCTGCACGGTTGGGGGTAACATGGCAACCTTGGGGAAGATCCCCTGATACGTGGGTCCAGCAACAACCTGGTGAGGATTGCGCTCTGAGCGACAGTCAAGACCGACGGCGACAACAGCGGGCCCCAGGTATTTGACAAAATGCCAACCAGTGCCGGTGATGGTGAACAGATCGACGTCGCTCTGAGAATTACGGAGCAGATCCAGTGTGGTATGGTGCTGAAACAACAGATACATCTCTATGCCTACTCGTCCAATATTCTTGAACATATTGGAGAACTGCATGTGCTCTGGGTAGGAACCAAATCCGTCGAAGCTAGCCTCATTAGCATGGGCTCCTGTCTTTGGGGGCAAGGCACAGACTTACATATCATGATCATCGATCTGGCAAACATAAGGGATCTGAGCAAAGGCTTCTCTAAGATAGGGCTGATCAAAATGGCTCGTATAATAGTGAAAGTAAGCATGAGAGACGTCCTCTTCGTGGGCAGTTGTCCATGGCGTCTTCTTCCGGATTTCCTTCCCACTGAGTGCAAGCCATTGTTTGAGGCATGGAACCTCCTTCCACATCCGATCGGCGTAGATCTGGCCTCCTAGACACAGCTGGGTATGGAATCCTCCAATCTCATTATGCTTCTGCATGATGTCTTTCCACATGAAGCCTACACCACCGAGGCGAGATCTCTCGTTGGCATTCACATTCATAGAGAAATCGTTTCCCGAAGTGGTGATGAAGCGCCAACCAGTCTCGTATCGTCCCGCAACTAGAAATTCGTAGCGTGTGCAACCAAGATGTGAGGTGATAGCGTAAGTCCATTTGGCAGGTCCGGCCTCTTCCATACGTAAATCTATTTCGTACCTGTAGAAGGTCCATCGCTGATGAACCGCAATTGGCATGGCTTTAAGCTGACGTGGATTCGGAGACAGATCGACACTCTGGTGAATATGAATGGTGGGAGGCTGTGCGGCATCTGTCACCAAGAGAATGGAGCCTAGCCAGATGCCACGCTCTACGTCCATGTTTGTGTAGCGGAGATAGGGGCCAAAATAGACCCCATTTGTAGGAGCAACCTTGTACATATCGATCCCACTGATTGGAGGGGGCCCCGTAGTGAACCCTGACACAATTGGGGACTGTAAACTCTCAAATCCTGGAGTCAAGGGAAGACCAGGAGATGCCAAGGGTTTACCGAATGTTGATAAAGCGGGCGATGCCAGAGGATGGCTGCTATATACGCTGCCTACCGGGGATAGCGGGGTGTCGTTGAGATTCAGAGGAGTCGGACCCTTGGGGAACTCCCACTGTGTGGACTGAGTCGGGAGGTGGATATAGTAGTATTGACCCGAATTGGGATCGAGATGAGCGATCCAACCTTCTGGTAGCGGTGGAGGTGAGGATGGTGCCACAGATGGCGTTGGTAGATTGCTAACGATGGTCTGCTGCACGATCGCATGATTCCCATTCTGAACTGGAGTTTGAGCGACATTCGGAGGAGAGTATCTCGACTCTTGTGGCTGCGGTTGCATCTGAGGTGGGGGTGACTGCTTCGGCTGCGGCTGCGGCTGCGGCTGCTGTTGCTGCCTTGATTCATTTGCAAATGCTGGGTGATCATGGGCCGACACGAACGGACCAGTGGCCATTGCAGCACCGTTTGCATCATTGGCTTCTTTGGCACCGTTTGCCGGTCCAGCGGTCGCGGGGTGTCCAGTTGACGAACTGGGCTGACTCGTCGATACTGGAGCACGCTGCTTCTCATTCGGATAACCCTGCGATACTACGGGTCCTGGGACACTCGAGTAGGCCGGAGGAGGGGAGGAGCTTATGCGCATTCTTTCCAGATCTTGTTCTAGTGCATTCGGAGGAATCCTGGTGGGTTGAGACGCTGGCTGGGGCTGCACTGACGCCCCTGCAGGCATAGGAGGCGTGGAACTTGTCGGAGGGTTACCTTCGGAAACGACCTCAGCACCTTGATAGACAGTGGGTGGCCCATGTGGCTGGCTTCCTGGCTGCTCCGTCGGGGTCCATGGCCTTGGGACCGGTGGAGTTGGCTGTTGAATTCTGGGCTGCTGGCCGGCATATTGCTCAGCTCTTCTCTGGGCAGCAGCACTCTGAGACTGAAGCCCTGCTAATGTCGATGTTCCCGCAATCCCCGAGGCGGCATACCGCGCCTCAATATCAGACGTCGCATGCTGCCCTGGCTCAACCACCGGGGTTTCTGGAGGCGGCGGAGAGCCGCGTTGAGCACGGGTCGTCGAGTTTGACGCTGTTGAGCTTATTCGGTTGATAGCATTGTTTGGCGGCTGTAGATTGTGTGCTGCTGCCGGTTTGTTTGAAGCTTGGGGAGGTGGATAATACTGTTGGCGGTGGTCTGGGTACCCGGCCGACTGGGACTGAATGTTTGGAGCTGGAGCTGGGGCTGGAGCTGCCAGGCCCGGCATGCGCTGATGAAGTCGCGAAAATAGACCTTCGCGGTCCGGAGAGTCCCCTGCGGGGGATTCGGGCAATGGTTTCGGGACATTGCCTCGTCGCTCAGCTAGGGTGGCCTGCTTGGGCTCACGCAGCCGCAGAGATGCCATATAATCGGAAGTCTGAGATATGCCGGAGCCAGCCGACATATTGCTAGGAACCGTGGGGGAGTCTCCCAGAGCAGCTCCACCGTGAGATACTGGACTAGAGCCACTCGAACCTGAGCCACGAACATGCTGGGGTCTCTGCCTATCGTCGGGATAGGGCAGAGGGGCGCTATGCGCCGACGCGGGGGAAGGGGTTTCTCGCTTGCCAATGCGCAGCGGTTCAATGACGGGCGAATCGGCCTGCGGTTGCCCCGATGCAGTATTCAGGAAGAGCTCCTCCTGGGAGCGAAAACCCTGACGGCTTGCGCTGGGACGACTCATGCTGTCCTAGGTCTTTGCTGAATAGATTAGAGATCAGTAGAACGGAAGATAGCTAGAAAAGAGATGTAAAGATTAGCCTTCTCGAACGAGCAAGAGCGCCCATCCAAGAACGAATGAATGCGACCAGACGAAAAGACGAGGGAAAGTAGAAGGAAGAGAGGAGGGAAAAGGAACAGGAGATAGAGAGGGAAATGCGGGGGAAGGGACAAACGGACTGGAAGTCACTGGTTCTAGTAAGAGAAATGCCGTATGCCGGGGGGGTGTCAACGACTGTCGCTCATTCTTCGTCGTTCTTGAAGCTAACCAAAGGACCAACTTGCAATGCAGAGAGAAATGAGAGAAAGAGGAACAAGGAAGGAAAGAAAGCAGGAGGCAGCGAGATTCCTCTTGGGCAAAGCTGGTGGCTCGACAGATTAGCCGCCGAGGGGGATGCTGGCGGGCGCATCATTGGCTCAGCGCAAAGGCCCCAACGGTGCATGAGGGGCAGCTCTCCGCGAATAATCAGTCGGAAATGGTTGATCTCCTCCTTCACGGTGCTGCAGATTTGACCTTCCCTAAACCATGCGATACCCTAGGGTTGCATGTGGCTGCTACTAGCACGAGGTCTGGCTGTGTGTCGCTTTTCCAACTGCCGGTGGGGACCCTGAGATATACTTAGTAGTCAGTAATTAGTAGTAAGTATCTAGACGGTTTGTCTCCTCCCCGAGCATCGGGATCGGCCCGCCGCGGTACCTTAATAAACAACTAAGTAACATAGTCCGGATGTGGATCAACGTGCCCACTATGATGAAAAGCATGGGTCGTAATCCCATCTGGTCATGGTTGATTTATTATTATTATCATCCTGACTTCGTTCACTTCGTTAAGTCCTATCAAAAATGTAAAAAAAAAAGGCGCTGGCGTATACGGGCCCCGTCTATATCCGCAATCCAAACCAACTCGAAAAAAAAATATATATATATATCCCAAGCTGAGAGTAATCATGCCCAAATCCTACAACTCCAGCTCCAAAGTCCCCCGAGAGAACTCGCAAACTTATGCCGAAATGAATCAACCGTAGTTGACTAAAGGTCGCCCATGCTCGGCCAGCACCTCCGCCCAGTCGACCTCCAGCGCATGGCCTCCACGCTGAGAATGCTGGATTTGCCGTTCAAAAAATACCTGCAACATCTGACATGTTGTAGCCGAATTATACCCAATTTCGCCCTCCTCTAGGTTGGATAGTAGCTCCAAGGCCATCATTTTCAGCCCACTTGTTGGAGCCACAGCGCCCGCCAGGAATATGGGAAAGGCAATGAATCGCCGGTCTCCTGCTCGCCCCTTCTCCACGATCCCTGATACGATCTGTAAGATTCGCATCGCGTGGTGGTGAATCTCCTCGTCTGAGGCAGCCTCAGACTCCAATCGCTGTCCTGCCCAGAGACTGGTCGAGGAGAAGAGCAGGCTGGTGTGATACAGAATAGCAAGCTAGATGGTACAGCCGTTAACACCACGCGCCCGGGTGAAGCGAAAGGGACTGACTAACCGGCTGCAACAGACTCTGCGACTGTTCTGAAAGACTAATTTGATTCTGGTACAAGTACCCAACCTCCTGCTGGCCCCATAGCCTTATGAACACATCACGTACCTCCCTTAGTTCCTGTCGCCGCGAGCCCAAGTAGTTGTTTAGGTAAGACTCTTTGGCATCCCGCGTCTCAACGGCGAGGAGTCCTATTCGGATGGCTAATGTAAAGGTGTCGTAATATAATCGCATGATCAGAGGTAAGCTGTTATCAGCGTGTGAATATTCCGAGTCACTGGGCCCAACTGCACAACACAGCGACTGCAAGTCTAGTAGCAGCTGATTGTCGAGAACGGCGCGGACAAACTCCCCCGTGCCTGCACCGCTGAACAGCGCATATAGATCCACGTGGCATACCCACCAAGCGATGCAAGGGAATCGTTCAGCCCCCGGAATTGATTGCCGCAGCAAGGCCAAATGAAGCAGCCGAGAGACGTGATGTGACCAAAGGTTTGAACCACCGGGGTTGGCGGCCACAACCTAGCGAATTCAGCGCTAAACCCACGTGATTTGTACGCAACGCCTTAGGCGCGAGCATGAGGAGGAAAGGGATGGTCCGAAAGACTCACCTCATAAACAAGCATCAGAAAATGTGTCAGATACAGAGCATCGGACAAGAGGTCTTCATTGCAGAGACTACCATGGGAAAGAGCGGCAACCCGATCGTAGTAATATGAGGCATCGATGTGATGGCCACCCCCGTGGCGAACCAGACTGAGAGCGGATAGAGCCATCATTGTATGGTATAGCTAGAACATTTAGAGATTAGATTCCATACAAATTTATCCGACCCCCAAAATGGCAAGCATTACGCACAGGAGGGAAGTTTGACGCTTCACGTTCAAACACAGTCGCATCCAGACCGTTGATATTGAAAAGGCCAGTGCATGGAAGGAGCTGGAAACACACGAACTGACGAAAATGTTCGAGAAGAAGCATTTGAGAATAATTGGGTTCGGCGCTTTCCTGTATATGCTGTACACCGGTGGCCGGATAGTCCGGGATCAATTCCGATACCGAAGGTGCAGATAATGAGAAGCTTCCCTGGTCTGATTCAGGTGATTGAGGGGTACTTCTCCTGTCTGGGTAAAAGTGTCTTCGTGCAGACTTGAAGCTCTTCAATACAACGACATTTGGTCCATGGACCCAATTGTCATCTTCGATCGGGGGATTACTGCCACTAGTGTTTTCGAGCAGAGCATCGTTCCCAGAATCTTGTTCAGAGTCCGCGTCTGCATACTCAGGCAGTTGAGAGAAACTCTCTGGGATGGCGATCACATGGTAAGTTCCAGGTACCGCTGCTTGCGCCTTTCTCTCACGCTCTTCATCTGATGTGAGTTTCGCGAAGGGCGGGAGTAAGTCGCATGTAGCTGGAGGCACGCTAGTTTTCCACGAAGTGACTGTCGCTGAGACGAAAAACCATGAATTTATTAGACACAATCCAAGGGTAAAAGAGGGTTACGGCTGCTCACGGTCCCAAACCACGTTTCCCGCGGTCCTAACATCCGGCATGCGCTCCCTTACGCGACGGGTATCATCTCGAAAGCACAATCGTGGTTGGTAGTCACAGACATGGCCCAGACGAGCACATTGCTGGATCGGATCAGGTCAGCATGGAACAGCGCAGCGCTCACATGGGCTCTGGATGAAGCACATTACACTGAGGGTGAACTTCGTCGCACTTGACTGAATTACGAGTTAGTAAGTATATCGTCGCATTGGAGCAGGCTGAAAGAAAGGCCCTTGCAGAGACGTGACTGTCTCTTCGGGAAACTCAAGCACTCACCTTTGCGGCTCTACTTCCAAATAAGGCAAAACAAGTTAGCATCTCGCTGTACGGAACGTCGGATACCACAGCATTTGCTTCTGACACGGGAGGATGGGCTCACTCTACACGTCCTAGGAGGGTAAGATGATATTAGAGATACCCACAGAACGGGAAATGAAGGCTTTTTTTCCCGCGCCAGCGGACATACCAGCAACCAGTTCGGGAACGGGGTGGGAAGCGCAGTCGGTGCTGGCGGACCGAAACCTTCTTGGGCGTCGGAGGGTCCAGGCCGGCGCTGGGGCTCACCAGACAACTCTTGGGGGCAATGATAGGCAATCTTAGAGGCTGCTTCCTGGAAGTCCGACCAGAACGGGTTGTCATCGATATACTGACGGCTGCCATGGAACAAGTCGCTTTTAGGGCTAACGCTGGGAATGACGCATCAACAAGAGATGTCTGGATGGTGACGGGAGCGTAGGCACCCATACTCTATAGGCTTCCTAGACTATATAACGTGTGGAGTCTATGGGAGATTGAGAAAGAAGAAAGAGCAACTGAGTGCATCAAAAGGAAGAAGAAAGTATAAGAAAAAGAGGTTGAAAAATAAGTGGAGGGAGGATGCCAGTCGGGTGACTATAGATGAAGAGAAACGACCATGTTCGGTAAGTTAAGAGGCAAATGGGCTGGGGGCCACGGATGAAGATAAACGAAATCGGAAGTAGTGTCGTTTATGCATCCTTAAAAGGGATTATCTATAGGGTGGAGCGAATAATGGAGGCTGAAAAAAAAAACGATGGGGGGAAAAAGGGAAAAAAATAGGTAAAAAAAAAGTCTAAAGAGAAAGAAGAGAAGGGGAAAAAAAACGGGAACGAAAGATAGGAGTGGGAATCTGGAGTCTGGAGTCTGGAGTCTGCAGAGCTGTCCAGAAAAGTAATAGTTCGTGAGGAGGGTGAGAGAAAGGGAAAGATAGGATCAGGTACAAGACGGAGCTGATGCAGAAACGCCATGGAAAAAATAAAAATAAAAATAAAATGGAATAAAAGAGGCGTTCTCAAGATCATCAGCCAGCCCTGTCCACAGTGGCGGTTCCGATGGGATTAGACAGGGTGAAAGGCGAACTGCGAACAGGCGAATGGAGAGGCAGCAGCCCAACTGCCACCTTGACGCGAATGGCGTGTTTGTCTGTGGGTGATCCAGGGAGAACTGAGGTAAAAGGGAGAGGGGAAACAAACCCCCGGGATGGATGTGGTTAGGCCCGTATCTTAGGCGAAGAGACTTGGTTCCAATGAAGGCCCTAGGATACAGAATCTACTAAGTACTAAGGAAGTAGTACTCGACTATCCTAGACCATGGATTGCAGATGCCAACCATGTGGCAGCGAGGGTAAAAAGAAAGAAGATTTGAAATAAAGCCCGCTGGGGCCGAGAGAAGAGGACCAGACCAGTCATGCTAGCCAGAGCAAAGTTGCTACCAAGGATGCTGATGGGACGATGCTTTTTCTTCCTCAACTTTGAGGGTCAACATCTCCTTTCTGGCATCCAATTAGGTCCAGGAACCTTTCAAGTGGAGTAGTACTAACCATGATCTACTTCATGACACACATGTCTCGCAGCTTGTCTTCTGTTTACGATTAATTGATTGATTGATCGATACGTTCCCTCCGTGAGCACTGGGCAGGCTATAGTCGCGACCTGAATATAGACCAGGGCCCACGGTTCAGGCTGGATTTTGGGGGAGGGGAAAGGCGTCAGGTGAGTTCGGCCACGCCGATATATACGGGGGGCCGTGAACGAGTCATGATGGCTCTGTCTCATCTGGTCAGGTTTGGGTCGGTATCGGACGATGCATCCACTTTGAGACTCGCGAAGCCACGATGGGTGCAAGCTCCGGACTGGAATTGGAGCATCTAACCCAATCCTTGGTAGGTTCACGTCATATTTTTCGAGGCCGAGCCACGCTGGGTGGCTGCCAGAAGGATGCTAGCCAGACAAATGGATGTATCTATATTCAAAGAGTGGCAGTTGAGAAAAGTGGGAAGAGCTGAAAGCGCATCCACCCAACCTTACCAACCTTAATGGCGGGGGAGGAAGTAGTTAGTAGTATGTACTTACTAACTACTTTGTAGATAGTTCCCCCTTGGCTTGGTCTTGATCCGTCGGATGGATGGATGGACGGCTTTCAATGCCGGCTAGGAAGTTACTACTACTTCCTAGTAACTTACATTACGCGATGAGAAGGCGTACAGGCCACGTAACAACCGGCGTATGTTCGGTCTACATACAGCAGATATTACCATGAATTACCAAGCTGCGTCTGTACCAATAGCCGGTGCTAACCCAGATGAGTCTAGCCTTGCTCTGCTAGACGCGCCTGGGCCAATCTAGATTCCTCGGGCTTGCCCGCAACCACGCTCAGTTGCTGCGAATTGAAAGCAAACAAGATCCCCCCGTCACCGCTTCCTCTCTCTTACTTACTCCTTCCATCCAGTCCCTCAGATTTGTCCATGGGACGGACATCCCATTCTCCGGTCAGTGGTGGCTTGGGCGAAGGATGATTGGTTAGGCGCAGGTCTGCATTACGCTACAGAGGCAAGTTAAGGTTGGGTATTATGCACCTTGGCTATAATCTAGATATCTATCTCTCTGATTTATTGTAAGTCCTCCGGCGCTTCTGCCCAAACGACACCCTTACAACCGCTCCCCGCCCCTTTCCTGTGCATGCCTCCTGATTGGGACGGGCACATTCAGGAGTGGCTCGGGTTCCTGACAATACCCAGTAGAGGTACGGACTAAGGTGGATGATACACATACAGTACTAGAAAGTCCCATGATCAATCTTCCGACTCTGAGACATTCTTTCCCCCGCATACGTACCCATGTCACAGGAATCATTGCAGATGGACGAGTGCCCGATCCAAGATCTGTCGCACTGGTCCCGATCTTTCCTCTTCTCGCCAGCTTTTCACCAGTTTCTGGATGGCCTGATCGATCGGGAGTTCCGTCTGCTTGCAGAGCTCAAAGTATGCGACAGCCGCTTGGGCGCGTTCAGCTCGAACGGCTTCAACGGAGAGGTCTATCTCATGGGCGAAGATCTCTACTGTTAGCGCCGCCAAGGACTCCTGGGGCCCACGGCGATCGGGTTCGCCACTCCGGTCCGATGCCCACGCCCCGATTTGGTCAAAGACTGCGCGCAGCTCCCGGTACAATGTAACCTGCACGTTTCTGCCCCCATGGCCCACTAGGATTCTGTGCAACACCGGTCTCGACTCATCCAGATGTCCGTGGAGGGCTTGATTTCCGTTAGCATATTGATGATTGGGTGGAGATGCCAACTGCAGGGGAGCCCACTCTTTGCTGAAGTATGCGATGCAAAACTGAGGCATTGTAAGATGCATACCACACAAGCCGCCAACGTGTCGTCCAGGGTTTGTCTGCAGAGGTAATCAGCAACTGCCGTGTATCCTCGCCGAGTCACACGAGAATATCACTCGGATTTATTTCCGCCAACATATCAGACCAATCAAAAGTAACCCCGAGAACAGAGGGATGAGTAGAAAGGAAACGCGTTGACTGAGAGCATACGAGATACAGACAGGGAACATACTTCGGCTTTTGATCCTTACCCGAATCCACATCCATTGGATCTCCTTGATCTTCAACATCATCCAGCACGTGGGTGACAATGGCAATAGCGTCTGACATCAGATCCAAGTCTTTGCGTGCTTGAGCCACTCCGCCAAGAGCAGTAAGCGCATGGGGGCGATATGCAGGGTTATTCCGCTTCGCTTCTCTGATAGTGATAGTCTAGAAGGGAACAATTTCACTGGCAGTCAGAGAGCGGCCCATCGAAGTTTCAGATGTTTCGGAGGAAAAGGCCTACCTTCATTGTTTCTCCAAGCGTTGGCTTCTCTTGCCATAATTTCTTCGCCTGGCCCGAGAACTTCACAAACGCTTCTAACACAACTTCTTTGCCCTCCCACGTTTTTCCGGCCACAGCTCTCTCCAGCACAGGCCAAACATACTCGCTTGTCGAGAGCTCAATTTCAGAGTCCAGCGACATGATGGCCTTTGCAAGCCCCAAAGCTGCCGTATGCTTAATGGCCCACCGAGCCGATTCTAAATTGCTGGACACCAAGTCGGTAATTTCCTTGATGTAGAGAGACACCGTGCGGTTGCCTCCGACATTATCCTGCCACGTCTTCTCGAACACCTCTCTGACGTGCTCATCCAAGTCACATTTGGACACAAATATGAATGGCAGTGCAGCCGTAGCGAAGGCCATAAACCGGTCATTAGACAACTTTGAAGCAGCTTGTAAAATTTCGGCTGAAATGACCCGCTGATTAGAGTCTTCGGCGGTCATGTATAGTTCTTTGGCATGTTCGATTGTCTTTAGCACTCGATTATCCGAGGCGAGACGCAGGAGATAGCCAATAGATGTACAATAGGATGCACTGACGGTGTCATTGCGATCCACCACGAATTTGCCGAGGAGCTGTATGAAACGATCTGCATAGGGGCGGAAGAGCATGGACCGCATGCTTAAAAGGACCAAAACCCGGCTACAGCCAACCTTAGATGGAAGCCCAACGGCCGAGCGCAACACACCTTCCAGCCTCGTGGCAAACTCTTTCATACTCTCTTCATCCAGCATGTCTATGAGGTACCTTTCAATCACTTCCATCATGGGAGATGTTCGAATGCTGGACAATCTCATCTTGTCGATATCTTGGCCTGTCAGACCATACTTATCGGCGTTTAGATGAACGTAGTTGACTGCTTGAGGCTCCAGTGAACTCAAAGAATTCAGAAACTGTTCCATCATGTGGGGTATGAACGGCCGCAATGGTCCGCCTGGGCTTTTTCGGATCATTTGAATCAGGGCTCCGATGGCAAATCCTTGGACCTCCTCAACACCGGATTCCATGCCTTTATCACTCAATAGGAATGGGATAGCGCTTCGTAGCATGGTTTCAGCTCGCTTGGTATCAGTGTTGCTTGTCTCCAATGTGCGGATAATCGCATTGGTAATCGTCTGGCAAAGCTTCAATGCTGAAGCTCGAACGGTCTCTTTAATATCATCTAAAAGCTTGAAGGCCTTGGTAAAGATTTCATCCATGTACTGCGCGTACTTTTCGGGCTGACGGCCCTGGATTAGATCGGCGATTGCAGTACAACTTGCCTGCCGAACCCTCCATTCCCGACCCGCCAAGAGGCTCCTCAACAGATCATTCATGATCTCATCAAAATGGGTCTCAATAACTTCCATCGGGTCCTTGACCAAGGCCTTCCAGATGGTATTCATGGACCGCTGAACATTGGGGTTAGGGTCGAAACGGTAGCGAAATAGCTTAGGATAAATCTTAGGGTTCTTCGCCAAGTAACCGTTGACGCTTGAGTCAGAAAAGATACTGCTGATGCCCATTTTGCTGAAGGCCGCACGACTCGACCAGAGGGCATTATTCGAAGCTAAGGACATGAAGCGAT